TATATATATATATATAGTATTTTGATGCAAAATAATCAATATTTAGGAAATATTCCAAAGTGACACATTAATGAGCGTCTGTAAACACAAAAGGTCAAAGAAGAGACTTTAGTTCATGTTTTATTGTGTTATTATGTGTTAATGTGTGCAGGCCAGCTCGCCACAGGAGCTTCGTCTTTTCTATGAAAGCAGTGCAACCCTGTTACCCAGGTTAGTACATCTTTGCGTAACCTTCTCACTAAGCACATGCACTGTACAATAAACAATATACGGCAATCACGATAGGAAAGGGCGTAAACAGGCAGTACTTGGAAATCGGTCATGTCTGCTCTCCGTTTACTAATCACTGAGTGACGTTGGTGCCTATGGCGCTGGAGTTCGAACCCACGAAAGTCTGCAGACACATGATAAAATTAGACACCAGCGAAGGAGTCTCACACCAGCGTTAAAATTAGTCTTGATGTGCAGGAAACTGATACAGACACCTGATGGGATCCATCAAATCTAAAACTGTCTCAGTCTCTCACACAATTGGTATTTGAAGTTTCTCAATCTTATAATGCTGGATCTATTGTCCTGTCAGAGCAGAACATTTATATACGGTGAAATATTATCAGAAAATGCAGATACGAAAACAGTCGGTAATCTTTGGAGAACTTTATGAACTTTTGGAGAGCAATAAGGGGGTTTGGGTTCTGTTTGATTGCTTTGTTCTCACTGTACTTTACCAGCCTTTTATGGCTCACAGCCATGCTTATCTCATGTTGTGCTACAGCTGGATGATAAGATAGGCTGTGGTTCTGTGAGGAGGCATAGTTTGGTTTATTCTCACTCTATTTATAACCTTCTCGAAGCTGCCAGCTGGTGATCTGGGCAGCTTTCTTTTTTCCACTCGACCCTCATAGGTCAACACAGACGAAAACACACTCCGTCTGACTGGCGCACTGACTGAGTGACGTGTTGTCCACAGCTTTGGTGCTGAAAACATACGTTAGATAAAAAAAATTCACATATTTTACAGCTCACAAAGTGTTTGTTAAATGTAAGAGGCCTAATATATTAAAGACCAAGGTATCAACTGCAGGGAAACAAATGATGGTGCATTTAAGTTGTAATTTGTAAATATTAGTATTCTCTGGAACACATGACAATTAATGCTACATATACACCACTGAGTGTTTGAGTCTTTATGATTTGTGTTTGGATTATTGTTTTTTTTTTTAAATCACAATTTACTTTAATTAATTAATTGATCTTTGTTATTTTCTAGCATCCCGAAAGAGACTTCTGCTAACTTGAGACACCTTTTGCTAGGGCTGCTGCAGAGGAACCACAAAGAGCGCATGAGCTTTGGTAAGCTTCTCTTCCTTTTATTATTTATAATTATTTTTATACTCCCGTCAAAGGCAGGACGTATTACAGCTGCTTGTCCTGCCCATAATTTCTGATCCGCTCAAGATAATTTAAGGACGCTCGATACACTTGCATCATCACTAGACAAAGTGTTGCATACACTAAGGTCACAAATCAAGGTTAAATGTTATACAAGGTCTTTGCTTGTCCCACCCATAACTTCTGATCTACTCTAGATTATTTAACAAAACTTTATACACGTGTATCATCACTGGATGGAGTGCCATGTACACTTTTTATCATCCCAGCTTTAAGGTTAAGATCACAAATCAGTCAAAGTCAAAATTATATCTTTGCTTGTTCGGACTATAACTTTGAATCCCCTCGAAATAATTTAATAAAACTTAATATACATAAACATCACTAGACAGAATGTCACAAACAATTTTTGTTCCCCCAGAGTCAAGGTCATGGTCACAAATCAAGGTTAGATGTTATATAAGATCTTTGTTCACCTGGGACATTGCTATAGATTGATGTATTGCTGTATAATAGTTTGTAGAAGGGCGCATAATGTGCCTTATCTATACCAGATGTGGGCACCGTACAGCCCGGGGACCAAAAGTGGCCCTTGAACAATCTCTATCCGGCTCCCCGTCATCGTTAATTGAAAACAACTTTTAAATAAGTTCATGAAAATCTGCATTTTATCAATGAAATTGAAGAAAACCTAAATTGGGCATCTTGGACAAATGCATCAAAAACCTTTGGGTTAAAAAATGCTAAAACCATCTTTTTAGTTGACTTATTTTTTTATGTTTTCATTTAAATTTTTATTTTGTATATTTAAGCTAACAAAGATATTTTCATAAGATAAAGTTTCCAAAGACTAAGTCTTGCATCATAAAGATTATTGGGGAGACACATTTTTATCAAGCATACTACCGGTAACTATGCTACAACAAGAAAAGGCCTCGGGGAAAAAGTCTCATAGAATATCTGTTTTCAAGAAAATGTATTTTCTAATTCTCTGTGAGGCCCTTTGATAGCTTTCAATATCTTGATTTGGCCCTCTGGAAAAAAAAAGTTGCCCACCCCTGTCCTATATTCTTGTTGATTTTAAATTGAAATTACTTGTCTTTACATTTGTAGATGAGTTCTTCAACCATCCATTCTTGGAGACAAGCTTGTCTACAAAGAAATGTGCGTAAGGTGTCTTGTAAGAGTCAGCAAAGATCAATGCATTGTGGGTAAATAACTCAGCTCCTAACACAAGTAGATGTTTGCGTTCTGACAGGCTCACCTTCTTCAGTGCCCTCCTACCCCAGCTCAGGCTCAGGGAGCTCCTCCAGCAGTTCATCCACATCTCAGCTGGCCTCGCCTCAAGTACGGTGACCAAACGCCACTCAGTAAAAGACATCAGATGTAAAATTGGCTTTAATACGCTTTTAATTTATTGTGTTGTTACTCATTGATTCATTTGATTTTTATCTGTCAGCATTCCGATGGAGAGATGAACCGGCTTCAGCCTGAAGAGCTGTACTCACTCGCACAGGCCACTAACGGCACCCTGGGAAAAGAAAAAATCAGTCCAGATAATCGAAACTCACCAACATACGTTGAAGATTATGTCATGGTGTCTGCCCAGTTTTCCAGTAGGATTTCTGAATTATCTAGCTCATTTAATTGCACAGGTTTTCTTTACATCTGTACAAAAAGCCTGATTATTTTGTCTCTTTGCCTTACAGGTGAGTACCCATGTGAGGCGGAAGACGAATCCCCCACTGAACATTACCTGATAAACAGTGGGTGAGTCGTTGCTTTTTGTCCTCATGTGTCATAATGTGAGAAAATAAAACGCACTTTTTGAGTAGGAAACAATAAATATGTTTGTTTAGGAACGCCCAGCTGACCAGGAGAGGTTCTGGACCTGCAGGAAGGACACCACCCCCTTCACTACCGATCTCTCCCTCTAAGCTTGTTGGGTAAATATAAGCCATGCAGTTAAATATTAATTTAGTTTAGTAAAAATATAGCTGAAGCATTTTTATTTTGGTTGTAAAAGATGTTTTGTTCATCCTGGCATTTTTATTAGTTGTAAAAAGTTTCAACATCCATTCTGACTGTTCTTTTTTTTTCCTAGTAATTGTGTTTGCTTCAATTTGTCACCCCGCAGTCATCCTACTGTAATAAACGGCCGTAAGTGCAGCCCATCCATGCCCATTCCAGTCCCAACTCAGATCCAAAACTACCAGCGTATGAAGCAGAACCTGCAGCCTGCCGTTTCACGTGACTCCATAAGGCATGCACAAGCTACCTCAGAATATTGTCTTTTTTTTTTTTTATATTTAGCCTTTTTTTTCTTTGTTTAACTATATCATGTGTTACTCAGGGTCATATGCTGTGCTGGCAGCAGCAGTGCAACCCCGGTGCAGCGTGGAGGGTGTTCAGCTCCAGGTCCAGGTGTTGAGTCTGACTTCCCAATGCTGGAAAAAGAAGGAGGCCAACCGCAACACTCCTCCCCACAAGGTAGCTGACTTGCTTTTTATTTTATCTTTTATTTTATTTTTCTACCGCACAATTATCACCTTGAAGGCAAACCTAAGAGTAACAGCTTTGTGCCATTGAACCGTATTGCCTGACTTAAAAAAAGACTGTTTACTGATTCATTCAGACAAGACCACACACAAAGCAGTACCGTACTTGCCCCCGTACACGTCGCACCGCCGTATAAGTTGCATCAGTCCAAATATGTCTAATAAAGAGGAAAAAAGAAACATAAATATGTTGCTTCACCGTATAAGTCGCATCTATTACACGTCACCGCTGATCACTCGGAAACGTTGGTCTGCGTTGTGCCAAAAATCGATTGGCTGCCAAATGGCGGCCGCGGGAACGTGCACGGGAGGACTTTAACAAGAATTTTAAGATTAGCACTTAAAAACAATTATTTGTTTGCTCGACATTATAGTAAAGGTGTGTCTCAGTTTGATTTTTCCTTAATAAATGCACTTTAATGGTCAAATCAGCTGCGTTTCAAAAATTGATTTGCGGCTGCTGGAGCACGCAGAGGGAGGACTCGCTGTGCATTTCTTCAAAACGTAACAAGATAAGCACTTAAAAGCAATTATTTGTTTGCTCGACATTATAGTAAAGGTGTGTCTCAGTTGAACTTTTCCTTAATAAATGCACTTTAATAGTCAAATCAGCTACATTTCGCCTGGACGGTGCAGTGAAATGCAGCTGATTTGATGTTTGCTCCAGGAGTTCTGGAGCGAGATGAAGGTGGCTCCTTATGGCAAGCCAAGTGTCTCATTAATAGCCACTTTTACCTGTTAATGCATATGTGTCAAACTCATGGCCCGGCTGCCAAATGTGGCCCTCGTTGACATCTTATCTAGCCCCCAAGATGTTATTTTAAATGTAAAATATTTTAATCACTTCATTTTTTTCCAGTAATCTTTGATTATGATGTCAAAAGTGCAACAGAGCATCAAATGAGACCAATCAAACTCTTGTTGAGGAACCTGCAACCAAGAAAAGATGTTGGTATCTGATTTGAGTTCATGTAGATTCTGAAACTGGCCCTTAGTTTGAAAAAGGTTTTAATTTTGGCCCCCTTTTGTAAGTGGGTTTGGCACCCCTGTATTAATGAGACTCTTGGCTTGCCATATAACTCTAGGGTGCTCTAGTGGCAGAAAATGGTAGTGTTCAATATTTTCCATGCCAGAATGAATGAAATTGTCAGGGTTATTAATATAGGGAAAAAAACATATATCAGTTGCTTTAGTGTATGAGTCACAGGACTTTCAAATTTATGCAAAAAGGTGCGACTTATACAGCAAAAAATACGGTACTTGTACAAAATGTTTTAGCAATTATCGGTGAACTGGTGATCACACATTTGATTATTAGTGTGACTTGAAGGGTTCAAAGGTGTGCTCATTTTTTCAGAACATGACAAGAACTTCATAAGTTTAGTTAATATTTATGATTTTAAAGTTTTTTGTTTAGGAAAGTTGTTTTTACAGCATGTCTTAAACTCATGCAGCCAAACAAAACCTTGTTAACGAGTTTGTGTGGTAACAATTGTGTCACTATATGTCAAACAGCACAGTTATCAGATGTGAGGTGTATTCACTGAATTGTTTGGGATGAAATATTATCTGATTTCCCTTGTGCACGCTGACGCATCAATTTACACCTACCACACAGGAACATTAATACTAAAACCAATGATCTAATCAAAATATGTACAGATAGTAATTTAATTTCTGTAATACTCTCTACTTTAGCTGGACTGACTCCAAAGAGATCAGAACAGACTCTCCCCCGTAGTACAAGAACTGGACTGCTCCCCGGCTCTCCTGATGCTCTGGTCTCCTCCAGCCACAAGGTCAGTTTCTTAAACACTTTTGTGCAGGAGGCACGACAGAGCCTCAACACACAGCTGTAGAGTAGAAAAGGTTTAAAAATGTACAACTTGTTCCATATTTAGCAGCACGTTCCAACTAGAAAGCCAAACCGAACCACATCAGTCCAAAACCTGCAGTCCCTTGAACAATGCTCTGCCTCCCAGACCATCAGCGCCAAGTCTGCCAATAAGAAAGGCCCCTTTAAAAGGTATGAATGTATTATGATAAAAAAGAAGTGTTGTCTGATGAGCAAACAACATTCTCCCAAATTATGAGGCTTTGTTACCACAACGTGTCTTCGGCTGCTTTAAATGTTCAGGTCACTGAGTGCTGGCAAGCTGTCTGACATGCTGCTGAAAGCTGCCTTTGGAGCCAACGTGTTAGAGGAAGAAAGTGACGAGAGCTTCAGCTGTGACAGAAGCATGGACACTACAGGTACAGTGCAAAAATATACTTGACTCTTTCTATTTTCTTTAATAATTTTTGCAATGTTTAACGTTGAGAAATGTGGTACATGTACTGAACGGTGGCCTTTATTGGACTGGTTTTCTTCCATTTGTCTCTGCAGCCCCACCTACTGGGCACCAAAAGGTGTTTCAGTTCTCAGACAGCCCGCCTTCAGCAGTCTTTGCCATGGGTTCTCCACTCAATGGAAACACTCCTCCTGATGACATAGTGCCCAAGATGTTGTCAGGTAGATGATTTTACATACGCTGATATGTTCCTTACTTGTTTTTTTTTTTTTAGCTTGCATTGTAGGAGTTTAGTAAATGAAGCAGGTTCATAGGTTTAATGGGGTTTTTTGTACTGTGAAAGTCCTCTCAGTCATCTTTTATCATACATTCACTCTGTCACTTAATCAATGATGAGCTAGATTAATCTTTTTTGTAAAATGCAGGCTCCCCCAGCTACATTACCTCAGCCTGGCTGCTGAACAGTCACCCTGTCCAGCGAGGAAGCCGGAGAAACAGTGAGACGGAAGTCATGGATGCTATTTCACACTACAGCTTTGTATTTCACCCTCCAGCTCTGCCTGAAGATACACTGATGGAGGTAGAGACGAATAAGATAAAACAGTTTCTGCAAAGGAACATGCAGCACAACCAGTTTCAATATTCATTTAATTTGATGTACTCCTTTCACAGCAGGCACATATGGACGCGCTGAGCGACTTGCGTTTCACTCTGGCGTTTGTCAGCTGTGTTTTAGAGTTGGCTTCCACAAAGGAACCTGGGATGGGCACCATCAGCAGTCCTGACGTTTCCTTTTTGGAGCAGAGCTCTGTGACGGATCAGATCAGCCTCCTGACTAGAGAGTGGAGGTGAGAGGGTGGTTTTTTTCAACATGTGTAGCAGCTTTTTTGATCTTCCCATTTTAGGTCTCAAGTCTTCTTTCTATTTCTATTTCTTCTGTGTTTCTGCAGTTATGCAGAGCAATTGGTGTTATACATGAAAGCTGAGGAGTTTCTGTCATCAGCTCTGCACACCGCCCAAGAAAATATAAAACAAGGCCAGCTCCTGCCTTCTGCTACTGTCAAACAAGGTGAGTCTTGAATATCAAACACCAGTTGATGAAACAGACTTAGACTTGTAAACTATAAAGGTTATGCATAAATAATTTGAAAGAAATGGTCAGATTATCAAACCAAATAAACTTTATTCATAAAATATTTGAAACAACCAGAGTTGACCCGTGATGGTACATTAAATCTTAAAATCAGAGTTATAAAAATATAAACATCATAATCAGTTTAAAACACATAGATGCATAAAAACATTAAACATAAAACCAAGTTTTAAAAAATCCTAATGATGCAATTTAAAAGTTACTCAAATAGCTCAAAGGAATAATTGCAGTTAAAAGCCAGAGAAAATAAATGTGTCTTAGGCTGCTTTTTAAAAGACTCAACAGAGGGAGCGTACATGACTGACAGTGGAAGACTGTTCTGAAGTTTTGAAGTGGAGACACGAGCTTCTCTACTGACTACGACTGGGGAACTTCCAAAAAGACATGTTCAGAAGATCTGAGCATTCATGTGTTTAAATAGGTGCAGAGAAGTTCAGAGATGGATTCATGTATCGGATCATACTAACCTTTGAAAACAAACAAGAATTTAAATTAAACTTTGTGTTTAACAGGAAGTTAGTGAGAGACTGCAATAATCCATGCTGCTGTAATAACGGGCTTCATGTTCTAAATGACATGCTTGGTGATATTTGGTTCTCCTTAACACTTCCATAAACCATTTCTTGTTGATGAGACTTCCTGTCATTTAACTGAAGATAGTTGCTAGTTTTTACAATGTTTCACCTGTTTGAGACAATTTATAATAAACAGAACATGTTTGGTCATCAGGGCTCAAGGGCATATCAATTTGAATATCATTTGCACAAAAGTGAAATACTATATTTCCAGAATATATGACCCAAGGGAAGTATGTATAGTAGGGATGCACGATATTGGATTTTTGGCCAATATGCCAATATTGCCGATATATATATATATATATATATATA